TTGGGCCAGAGGAACCGAATACACCTGCATCCAGGTATCTTTGAGAGTGGCCACATACTAGCCCTGCTTTCTCTGTGCCAAAAGAAGCACAGGCAAATCTGGTGAACACAGGCAGGGCCATCCAGGCTGCAGGCCATTGGTTCTCTCCTCTTCTCCCTTTTCTTCTCTTCTCCCACCTTCCAAATCCTCCCTAGGCTAGTGTTTTCTTTCCAAAAGCAGATAATAACAGACAGACAGTACATTGCCAGCATCCCTACTCCATGCCCACCCCAGCTCACAGCCCTCAGGACCCACTGGGCTCTGATAATAGGAGCCAGTCAGGCTTTGCTCAGGGACATGTCAGCTGGAGATGGTTACTGAAGCCTCTGCATGTCCAGTCAAATGCCTGAAACCTTCCAGGCATCAGGCATGGCCTCAGAATCTGCCAGATGTGATTTGGAAAAATCAGTCAAAGAGATAGACAGTGCAGAGTTACTAAAACAAACAAGACAAGGGTTGTTTTCTGAGCACCAGACAGATGGAGACCTAGGGAATCAGGCAGAGTAAACAAACATCAAGTAAATAAAGCCATCTTCAGCTAAGCCAACAGAAAATGAAAGTAAAACAAGGAAGACACCTTTTTCTGTATGTGAAGATCTTTATAATAGAAGTTAGCACAACAGGCCCTTGTTTAGGCAGTTCTGGCTGAAAGAGAAGGCTCTTCCTTTCTTCCTCTTCCAGTACAAATCCTACAGGGCCCTCATGACCCAATCCACGTGCTATCTTCTCCAGGAAGTTTGCCCTGGCTCCTCTTCCCTCTTCCACAACCCAGTGTGAACAATCATGCCTTCCTCCAGGTTCTTTTTTCATTTTGCTGTACCAGTTTGACAGAAGCTCTCCCAATCTCACTTAGAATGTAGTTATCTGGCCCAAAGTGGTGACACACATCTGTAGTCTCAGGTACTAGGCAGGATGATCATAAGTTGAAAGCTAGTCTGGGCAACTCAGCAAGACCCCACTTCCAAATAAAATAAAAGGGGCTAGGGATATAGTTTAGTGGTAGAGCATCCCTGCATTCAACTCCAATTGAACCCAGCCCCTACCATACAGACACAAGAAGTAGTTATATACATGCTAACCCTATTGACCAGCCTAAAAGTGTATGAAAGGCAATGATTCTGTCATGTTAATCTCCCTGTTCTCAGTGTCTAACAAAATCTTAGACAATGAGAACTGAAAATGAATAAGTCAGGTAAGCATTTCCATTTTGTAAACATCTATGATGCATGTGAATATCATGGTCATCATACTAGGTAGTGACGTTAACAAAATGAAAAAGAAAACTCCTCTGCTTCATGGATTCTACAGTCTGAGAGACAGAAACAACTATAAACAGATTATCACAATAAATAGTTCTTGGCATAGTCATGAAAGTACAAATAAGGTAAGAGAGAATGGTGTGAAGAAAAGTAGATTCAAATTTACCTAAGGGAGAAAAGTTTTCAAGAAAGAAGTGATGCTAACTTTGTACTTTAGTTCAGATCAGTAAAAAAGAAAATAAAAAGAGAGTGTTCTATGATTTGAATATGTCCCGTGAAGTTCATGGGTTGGAAACTTGATTCCCAATGCAATGTATTGGGAATGAGGCCTAACTGGGAGACATATGGGTCACAGGGGCCCTGTCCTCATGAAAATGAATTAATTCTGTTATAATGGGAGTGAGTTCCTTATAAAAGGAGAATTTGAAACTACCCCCTGCCATGTTATAACACAGCAAGAAGTCCCTCACTAATGCCAGTGGGAGCCTTGATAATTTTGTCTCCAAAATTATGAGAAAATAAATTGCTGCTCTCTATAAATCTAGTCTGTAGGATTTGGTTATGGCAGCACAAAAAGGGCTAAGACAGAGGATTAGGCATTCATAGGGGCAGAGAGAAAAAAAAAAAGAACCCTCAAGCCACACATACTCAACTTACCTCTAAGAGACAAAAGAAGGCTGGAGTCGAAAAGGTTCTAGATGACAGAGCATTTCCAAGAAAGTTGTGGCAAAACCAATGGGTAGTCCTTGAGCCAAAGTTGCCCATTCCAAGAATCTCACATCTTGTTGAATGGGGCTGCCTTAGTATCCCACTGTGCTCAAGTCACTGGCTGGGAGCAGCCTATAGGAATCACAGCCCTATTGTGAACATGGTAGTACAATAATAGGGCAGTAACTGGAGACATTGTCAATGACACTGTCTGCAGCAGGAGGTCTGAGTGGCACATTTTCATGGCTACCATATTTGATCTTTATATTTAAATAAACAAAATGGAAACTTCCAGGATCAGGAACCTGTATAAGCAGACACTGAGCATGAGCAATGTGGCTCAGTAGTGGGCCTGCAAGTAGTTTGGCATGAGTGGGTTGTAGACAGGTGTGGGATGGAGTTGGCTGCTTAGCAGCAGCTTGATTCTGGTATCACATGTGAACTGTGGGGAGACGTGAAAGGGCTGACATTCGGAGTATCAGAGTAGGGGCTGACCTTGGAAAGAGGCTGTGGCAACTATGTGGAAGAAAGTTCAGGGGGAGGCAGGCTGGCTGGATAGGAGGCCCTTGCAGGCATCCAGGAACCATGAACTGTGAAATGGGATACAACAGTAGAGTTGGAAAAGGAGAGAAAGAGAGGGATATTAGAATGAAAAGGAGGATGAATGAGTGAATGCAAGTGGTCAGATGCAAAGGGGGTCTCACAGACAGCTCTGTAGGAAAGTATCAACACTTGTCCCCAACCCAAGTTCATCTCAGGCAGGCATGAATGCAACTCTAACCAAGTTGGAGCACAAGTTTCCAGGAGGTGTGGCTGTCCTTTGTACTCCATTCATTTTCGAGGCCAGATGGGGTCTGCCTCATTGACTTTCATTGCTGATCTAGCCTTGTATGCTGGGTTTTCACAGGTTGCTTCCTTTCCTTTATTTCAATTCATTCTTCCACTTGTCCCACTTTAGCACTTTGCATGATGACGTTCATCACGATGGCAGAGAGACAACTGGAGCTCTCAGCGGGTGGAGGTTTTCAGGGAGCCAAACAAACCTAGTTCCCACAGCTCAATTCCCTGGATCTGGGAAAACACAGCAGTCAAAGCCCGGAGAGCAAACAGTAAACATAGTTTCATTGAAAGACACTGTTGAGTAAGCAAGGTGGTGAGGCCAGCAATTGCAGTCATGACCAAAAGAATGAATTTCTGGCCCCAATTTCCTCCTCCTTCCCAGTTTCTGCTTGCTACCATCTTGCATGAGGACTATCTAAAGAGCAACTTCAAGGATGTTTGCTGTCCAGTGCTCTCTGATAAGTGTTGCACCTTTGATTGGTCACCAGTAAGGACAATCAGTTTATCCCTCTGTTCTCACCAGGTCTTAGGTGCTTACCCCAGTAAAAAAGCTCCATCCTTCCTAATCAAAGAATAGCCCCTTCCACTTTTAAAATTCAGTTTTAGTTTCCAACAGATCAATTGTTTCCAGTACTCTCTTGTTACTTACTCTATAGACCTATCTAGTTTGTTTTGGTCTAAGTTCCCTCAAACATTAGGAGTTTCAGTTCTTTCTTTTCCATACTCTTAGATCCTCAGGAGCAAGAATAAAGGATTCTCCTTTCTCTTTGCCCCCAAGCATCTGGAAATGTTGTGTTATTGTGCAAGTGAGTGACCTCAGTGTTTCTGACTTTCTTTTCATTCTGTTCTATACATGCTATAAGTTTCAGGCCAGCCCTCAATGGAAAAAGAAGCGTCTCTTCACCCACCTGCATGATCAGGGTTTGGCTACAATGAGTGTGACCTGTAAAGTGCTCTGAGATCCTAAGAAGAAAAAGGACAGAGCAAATTATGGTCATTTACAGAAGGTGATCAACACTAGGAGAGAAAAATCTTGCCTAACATTTTCTTAAATTTTCATTACTCTTGTGTACCCTGGTCCTTCTTTTCTGGCTTTGCCATTTCTCACCCTGGCTTCTTGCTTATATTTATGACATTATGTAACTGTCTCACATTTGGATATGATTGACTCTAAGGGTATTGTTCCAAAATCTTTTATTGACTAGCACATGGTTCCCTGGGCACTGATTCTGCACTTGTATGGTTGTGGTGGTGGTGGTGGTGGTGGTGATGGTGGTGTGTTGTGTTAGTGGAACTGAGAAAAAGAAAACAACCAGCAAATGCCAACTGGCAACCTCCCTAGATCAATAATATTAACGATTTCAGAGACTTCAAAAGAGCTACTGCCAACTCTTTTGGCTTTTCCAATACTATTATCACTATACAAGAGCACCCCAAGGCCCCTTTACTTAAAGAAAAATGACAGAATGCCCCAAATGAGAGTATGTTGATTTCTGTCTTTAAGGAATGCAACCCCAGTGCTTCCTTCAGGAAGAATGGTTAGGATGGTTGAAATTAAGACTTGACTTTAATTCTGGGGTCAAGATTTTGGAGTGAGGCATGATTTTCTGAGGGCTCATTTTGCAACTAGTACCCATGTAACCACTTATTCTGCCTTACTCTGAGAATTTCCACCTGCCTTTATAAAGACACATTTATAAAAAAAAAAAAATCTAGGGCTTCACTGGTAGAACAAGGTAGCATTTAGCAAGTGTCTAGGCTTTGAGACAGCACCTGGTTCCACTCTCTGCTCTACCTTTCACTGGGCATGTGTTCTTCTCAAAGCCCTCCATCTATCTGAGCCTCCATCCTCTGTTGTGGAATGCAGGACTGAGCATTTGCCTAATGGTGGATGACAGCTGAGACTCTATGGTGGTTATTCATTGTAGGGGAAGGGGAGCCAGAGAGAGAGCACATGGCTCAAGAGAGGAGATAAAGGTCTGAAATTTATGGAAATTATCTATTCATCTGCTTAGGTTTCTTGAGGGCCTACTCTGTGTCAGGCAATACTCTACATTTTAGACCAATGCTATCCAAAAGAAATTTAGGCAAGCCACAGATACACTTTTCAATGTCAACTGATCACATTAAAAAAGTAAAAGGAAACAGGGTAAATTAATTTTAATGATATACTTTATTTAACCCAATATAGCCAACATATTATCATTTCAATGTGTAATCAATATATGACCACTGAGACATTTGATGTTCTGTTTTTCATACCAAGATTTAGTGTGTACTTTATACTTGGAGCACATCTCAATTCTAGCCACATCCTGAGTGCTCAAAAATCATGTGGATAGCGGCAATCATACTGGACCACTTTCAGAGCATTTCCTAGTGGGAACGTGGACGAGCAAGCCTGTCTGAAAGTCAAATGTAATAACATGGTGATTGTGATAAGTCAAGGCCTTAACACAGAGCTCAAATCATGGCCATCTAGGCTTTGACAGCTGATGGCTTGGGCTTGGACTTGGATAACAGTTGTCACAGCTAACATTTGTGGAGTACTCATTAGGAGAGCGGCATTGCACTAAGCGCTTTTCACACATTAAATAATTTCAGCCTACAACACATCTAATAAGTATTGCTTTTACACTTATTTTATGAGATGAGGAAACAGAGGCTTAGAAACTATAAGTTGCTCCAGACCATATGGCTTCTGAGTGCTGAGCCAAGGAGCCCAGTCTGTCTGATTCTGTGCACTTGGGCATGTGTTTACTATTCCACTTACTGTGTTCCTTTGGGGGAGTTAGCCCATCTGAATCTGTTAACAACATGTGGCTGTTTCTTAGCTCTTAGAGCCATTGGCGCAATGGATAAAATTCAACTGTCACAAGTGGTGTGAATTGCTTGCTGTACCTCACTTAGGACGCCAAGGATTGTTACAGTCTGATTCTCTCAAGTTAGATTAAAGCCATCCATAAGGTAATAAGTTGGAATCTGGTTTAACATTTTGGGGGTCAATATTGTCTCTGGGACTTACAGAGCCCTAAAGAAGATCTGCCTGGCTCCACAATCAAGTACACTGTGGGCCAGACAGGGCCATGTGGAACTGGGCATTGCCCATCTGAATCAGCTAGTTCACGCTGAAGCTCATTGCGGGTAATGCCACACAGGATACACCCTCCCTCAGTGGGTTCTTTAAGTCACAGCAAAGCAAATTTAAAATGTCCACATCATTTAGATTGTTCAAACCAAAATATTTTACATTAAAAAATCTGAAATTATGGTTTCTCTCAAAAAATGTTAAAAATCTGATAACATTAAGTTCATATTCCCACATGGCTATCAACACCTTTGGAACACTAAGTGTTGACTCTATTCTTCAACACAGGCTAAGTGTGTGTGTGTGCTTCTGAGTAGGCAAACCTTAAAAACACCAGGGGGTCATTTTACTTTTGATGGGGGCTGGAGAAACATTACAGTGTCTTCCTAAGGAGACCAGATAGTAAAATGGTTAGGAGCACAGACTTACAAGCCTGATTCTCTGAACTCAATCTGGCTTTCATCTCTCACTATTTGCATAACTTGGAAAAGTTGCCTGGTCTCCCCATGTCTCATTTCCCCAAATGGTAATACTAAGATATATAAGGTTCTTGTTTGGGTTCCTGGCACAGTGTAAATATTGCTATCAACTTGGAAAACAGGTAAACCAAATTTTCAACAGGTCACCCACTCCTACTTAAGCTATTGGAGTTATAACATCTAGGAAAATTGGCACTCGATTTCTTTCTTGGTACCATTGCCACAGAGTGCTAACTCTGAGAAAGACTCCTTTCTGATTTCATAGTAGGGATTAAGTTAGTGTACTACTTTTTAGCAAAAGTAAATATTCATGATGACATAGCACCAGGAAATAAGCCCAACAAAATGGTCCCTGTCCATTGCTCAATAAACAGGGGACTGTGTCCCACAAAGAACAGCATCATCACCAAGCTTTTCACAACGAGGAGGCCCAGGGCTTCTCCTTGCATGGACACATGTCAAGTGGGCAGCCTGGTTCTATATCCATTACACCCTTGTGACTCAGGCTGCAGAAAGAGATGGGGCACTGTGCAAAAATGCTCTCCTCCCCACAAACTGTGAAAGAAGAAAAGTGGCATAATGCTCTATAGAAGAAAACTCAAATGCCAACTAAAAAGCAGGATTGAATTGGCACGGTAGGGACAAGGCCAGGTGGACACGAGGATACTTGGAGTGATCCAGAGGGCAGGTTGTGGTTGTGGTTTCCGGCAGCCTACAGACATGAAAGGGACAAGGGCTGAGAAGACTGACATCTGGGCCCCAGGCTGCTCTGTGCCATGCCTTAGGCAAGCTTTTCTCCCTGCTTGTCCTCAGACTCCTCCTCAGTCAAAGAGAGAACTGGACTGAATATTCCCATAGTCTCTGCTAACCATGACCCTCTGTGGCTATTCTGTAGCCTGCCTCATATTTGAGTGACCATGCTCATTACATGTCCTGTCAGTCCCAGTGCTGTTAGAAGTACATGCAATCCCCAATACAAGAACTTCATCTATGAAAAGATCCAGGGTCCTGTTCCAGGCACAGTTTAGGCTATCAGACCCAAATTGGGCTCAATAAAAAGCTTTTGATTTATAGATATAGCTTCCATGTTGTGTACTTCACAACGATGTATTTGTTCATCTGTTCTTTCACTAATTCAACATTTATAGCACAATGCTGGCATTGAGGAGAACAAACCAGACAACCCAAGAACATAAAACCCAGCAATTCATCCATAAGACGTGAACCTTGACCTGAAAATTGGTAGTCAAAGCATCCTAACAGGTTCCTGCTTTAGAATACACGCCATGGCTTACCCTGTGTCACCTTAACTTCATTCGTCAGGTGGGTGCAAGGAGTACCAAGCCAGGGCATTTCCAGCATCCTATAAGGCACCATGTATCAAGACATCTTCCTCTAAGGGCTGTGGGTGTAGCTCAGTGGTAGATCACCTATCTAACCTGAGCAAGGCCCTGGGTTCAATATCTAGCACTGAAAAGGAGTGGTGGTGGTGAGGAGGCTGCTTCCTCCAATCTGAGCCACAATCTGATTCCACACCACCCTTCCCTTTTCAAGACTAGAAGTTCAGAAATCAGATCTCCCCCAAACTGCACAGATCCTGGGCTCTGGCATCAGGAGAATCTCTTCTTTTCCCAAAAGCCTAAATGGCCTCCCCTGATGGAGCCTGATAATAAATGAGTTCATTACCTTGGCTGCTGGGGCTCATGACAGCCCATCTGCTGGCATGATTAATTAAAACCAAGACTGGCTATGGAGGTGCCATCTCAGGGCCTGAAAGCAATTAATCGGAGCATCTTCCAGATCATCATTTCTGCTGGATCCTAGAGAGATCCATGCCAGAGAGAGGAAGCTCTCCATAGTTGATCCCATTGCTTCTCCCTCTTTTATATTCCCTGCAGAGTCTCCTTCCCCAGGAAAGTTCACCTGTAAAGTAGAGGCAGGTGGTGAGGACCACATCTTTAAATTCTCTAAGAAGGACAGGGAAATATTTACGTAAAGGAGGATTTTCTATTTCTCCCATAAGCAGGGAGTGTTGGGATTTGAAAGAGGGTTTCACCCTCTTTTCTTGATCCTGGATTCAGGCAGTGAACTCCTCACTTTCCATCTCTGCTTGTCAAGGTTCTCCAGAAAAACAGAACCAGTAGGACACGAGCACATACATGCAGGTGTGCTTGACAGATGCTCTTTGACTTAGAATGGGGTCATACTTTGATAAACCCATCATAAATTGAAAATATCAACCTGAAAATGCACTTAATAGCCTATGCTATGGTTTGGATTAGTGTTCCCTAAAGATCCATGTGTTAAAGGCTTGGTCATCAGTCTGTGGTGCTATTGGAAGGTGGTAGAAGAGGTAAGTCCTAGTGGCAGGGATTGGGTCACTAAGGGTGTGACCTTAAAGGGGATACTGGAAGTCCATCCCCTTCTTTCTTTGCTTCCGGGCCATCATGAGGTGAGCAGCTTTTCCCACCACACTCTGCTAAAATGTTCTGCATTACCATAGGCACAAAAGCAACTGGCCAAACCACCATGAATTAAAACCTTCAAAACTGTAAGCCAAAATAAACATTTCTTCTTTTTAAGTTGGTGATTTCAGGTATCTTGTTATGTAATGTAAAGCTGACTAACACACCTGTCAAGCATCATAGCTTAGCAACACAGCACGCTGTAGATTATCAACTGTGTACCCACGATCATGTGGCTGACTTGGAGCTATGGCTCATGGCCACTGCCCAGCATTGAGTCAGTACTGTACTAAATATCACTAGAAGCACCATTTTGAGTGAACAAACACTGCTTTCACACCATTGTAAGGTTGAAAAATTGCAAGTTGAACCATTTTGAGTTGGGGACCCACTTAATAAACTGAAGAAACTCATTGGAATTGGCTCATACAATCATGGAGGCTGAGAAATCCCATGTTCTGCTATTTGTAAGCTGGAGAATCAGGAAAGCCAGAAGTGCAATTCTCCTAAGGCCTGAGAACCAGGAATGCTGATGTTCAAGGACCAGAGAGGATAAATGTTGTAGTTACAATAGGTGAGAGAACGAATTCACCACCCCCCAACTTGTTGTACTTTCCTGGCCCTTAATGGGTTGAATGATGCCCATCATACTAGAAGGCAGAATTTCTTTACCTAGTTTACCAATTCAAATGCTAATCTCTTCCAGAAACATCCTCACAGACACACCCGGAAATAATCTTAACCAGCAATCTGGACATCCCTCAGTCAAGTTGTTGCATAAAACTTACCATCAGTCTCGCTGTGGAGACATTCCTGTCTGTCCTATCAGTAGCTTCAGAGTCAGGTGGTAAGGCCTCAGGCCCATGCAGAGCCATTCAGCCCAAGGTACCAGAAGCCCTGTGTTGGGGGATATTAAGTGCTTTCCTGGCCATAAAAAAGACTGCTACTTGGGTTCCCAACTGGCTATGGTCATGGCCAAGCTTCATGCTTACCTCTGTGGTCAGAATCTAGTGAAAGTCTCACATGGAGAACAAACCCTGACATCTCTGAGAAGGCAGAGAAGCACCACATTTCTTTTTTGTGCAGTCCACAAAAAAAAAAAAGGCTTGGGGGCCATCAGAATATGACCCCAATATGAGCTTCTCACTTGAATGAAGTCTCAGTAAATGACTAGGTGCTTCTTCATGCTCTTGCACCCTACAAAAGCTGCCAGCTTGCCTTGGTTTATGGAAATTGTGTCTGCTTCTATATCACCTCTTGCCCCATGTCTTGAATGTGTTCCCCAAAGTTCATGTGTTAGAAACTTAATCCACAGAGCAACAGTGATGAGATGAGATGATAAGAGCTAAGTCGTGGGGACACTGCCTTCATGAATAGGTTATCATTCTCATGGGAGTGGGTGCATGACTGTAAGAGTCCAACATACACATAGAGGATAAGTGGCCCCTGTCCCCCTCGTGTGTTCTCACCATGTGATGACCTCAACCATGTCATAATGCAGCAAGAAGGTCCTCACCAGATATAACCACTAGACTTTGGATGTCCCAGCCCTCTGAACAGTGAACAAAATAAACTTTTATTGTTTATAAATCACCCAGTCTGTGGTACTATAATAGCACAAAATGGATTAAGTACCTTTTTTAAAATGGTCAGAGGGGGATGGTTCTTTTTAGAAAAGGCTTTAAGTCTTCTACAAAAGACATTTATACTAACACATTAGACCACTCCTCTCTTCTGTATTCTCAACCTTACCCTTTATTGGAGTTAACATGATTTCACCATATTAACTCTAGGAAGAAAATAGGGTGCAGGGTGCTTCCTCTGACGGGGGTTGCCAGTGAGACTCACAACTCATTGGAATAAAGATGGAGATGTCAGATTGAGTAGGTTCTTGAATTATATGCTCTAGTAGGCCTCTGTGCTCTTTGGCACAAGGAAGTGAACAAGAAATGGCTCAGAGATAAAGAGTGGGAGAAGTCAGGCTGAGGGAGTACTACTGCACAGTACAACTCAGAGGGGAGATGGCAAGCAGGAACTTGGGGTCATCCTGTGGGATACTTTAACTTACTAAGAGATGGCTTGAGAGTTCAACTTCAAGGGAAAGCACAGGAAGGATCCAGAGTCCAAATGCCTTCATGCTATACAGGAAGGAGCACCTAGACAGACTCTGCCATTCTCACTCCACACACATTTAGATATACAAATTGCCAAGAAACAACAGGATGTGGTTCACAACTTGAATATGCATGGAGTCTGCTGGGGATCTTAAACACTGCTGCTACCTGTGTCCTGGGTGTCAGGAGTCATCAAAGCCTTCCAGGCGATTCCAAGGTGCAACAAAGTCTAGGTGACACAAGGGTCTGTAGCCCTGCCTGGAACTTCCCAATAGCCAGCCTATGTGATTCTTACCTTACTTTTCCCAAAGTGTGGGGTTGGGGGACAGGAGCCCAGAGCTGGCCAGGATAAGGTGCAGGGTGCTCAGTAAATGCTCTTGGTGCACAAGGGTGGGGCCAGTGCACATGCAGCCCTGGGAATATAATGCCTTGTTTCTTCTTCCTGAGGGACCTAGGCAAAGATGACAGAGGCAAGAACTTCACAGGAGGAGGATGCAGAAAACAGGCAGACAAAAATCGTAAGCACTTTCCTTAAAAAGGGAGGTCAGAGAGGGACATGGCTGAGGCAGGAGGGGGCCAGTTGTCAAAAAAATAGTGAGCAGGGCAAGAAAGTTGCTCTGAAAGAGAGGAGAGACTGGGGGACAAGCAAACCCAACCTGACAGGTACACTGTGGGGACTTATGGGCACATGCCCTTCACAATGAGCTACTTCCCCCACAAGGATCCCAGAACCCAAGAGTTGCAGGGAGAGATGGATTTCCATTCCTGAGTAGCTGTCAGGCCGTCCTGAGTCTCCATTCCTTGGAGACTTCCCTGGTTTGGACCCTCAGCCTCTATATGGTTCTCGTGTCCTGCCTCTTCAAAGCCTTCCTATCCTATGTGTGTCCTGCTGTCAGCATAACCTGGCTTATGCGCCCATCTGACTGCTTTATTTTTTACCAACAGGGGTTCTCCCATGATAACCACCTCACCCTCTCTCTAATCCAACCTTTCTCATAGCACCTCACCTTCAGGTAAGTCACACCACTTACCCTTTCCCGAGCCTGTCATGACATCTGCTGGGTCCTCTATTGAAATGGCCTCCCCCTCTCTCCTGAATCAAATTATTGTTTCATTCACAGTTGTCTTAACTGCTACCAGCTCAGAAAGCATCCCAGTTATTAAGACTGAAATTAATCTCTTCAGTGCTTCTGAAACTCTTCTCAAGTCTTCTTCACGACCTTCTCTCACTGTAGATTCTGGTTATTTGTGAACTTCCCCCAAACAATGTATGTTTTTCAAACTCTAATCCTCTGGAGTGCCCAGTAGGGTTTTGGATATAGCAGATGCTCAATACATGATTATTAAGTTGAATTTAATAGAATGGGAATGGGTAGGCATAGAGACCTGCTTGTGGGGCAGATGAATTATTAAAAGAGGCATTCCTTTCTGCCACTCTGGTTAAGATCCCTGTAGCCCACATAATACCCGTAAGGACAAACGTAAAAGGTCAGGGTCATAACCACTAGAACCCAATAATACACTGACCACTAGATCTCTTTCTTTATAACAGACTAGAATTCGTGAATAAAAGGACACAGAGGCACAGGCAGATCAATAACAGCTGACATTTACAGGACACTTGCAGTTTATTTCATAATCACATTCTCAATAAATGCAGACAGATTATTTCCTCACAAGTTAGCAGTCTGATCTCTTCCACCCACATAAGATGGGCAAATGTTCACCATTTCACACAGCAAGAACACTGAATACATAAACATACACACTTCTTATATTTATAGGAAAGGACTAAAACCATTTAGCCCCAAGTTTCAGGTACTATTGTTCCCCAAAGAAGCCCTGCTTATTGTGTGTGTCCCCTTTTCCTCCCCCACCCCCTAACACCACACCATGCAGATCTTTGCTCCACATAGTTATTCTCTCCAGTCTCCATTGCTATTATGGGTTGACTTGCCTTCCCCGCAAAAGCTATGTTGAAGTCCCAACCTCCTTAGAATGTGACCTTATTAAGAAATAGGGTCTTTGACGATAGATTTAGTTAAGATAAGATCACATTGGAGTAGGGTTGGTTCCTAATACAATATGACCGATGTCCTTTTAAGAAGATGCCCTTCGAAACAAATACAGTGGCTGAGGAAGGGAATGTGTGCATGTGTGCTGGGCACAGGAATCATGTTTTTTGGTGGAATGACAGTGTAGACGTGTGTTAGAGGGTTTCAGTTCATGCATACACATGTATTTTCCTACTCGCACATTTACATGCCTGTGTGCACTCTCTCATTACACACTTCAGTATTAAAACTGCAAATGTCCTCTCTGTTCCAGCTATTAATTAGAACCACATACCTCTCCTGCCTCCCTATGCCAGTGCGTGGATGGCAGTGTGGTGATAAAGATTTCATCAGGATACTAATCAAGTGGCTCATAAAAGGCATCTAACCCAACACCATTGGAGGATACAGGACAGGGAGTTGGAAAGAGGGGAGGGAAATCTTTAAACAAAGGAGCCAGTTGAATGGACACATTGTGATTGACAGACCAAGATCCCAAGCCTTAAAACATAAAACTCCTCCCATCTAGAACTCAAGCTTTTAGTTCTTTTCTCTTAGAAAGCTTCCCATTCTTCTGCTTCCAACATCCAGAGAGGAAGCTGTCCACTTTGTAGAAGAAAATGAATTGCTTATATGAGAAATGCACTGGATCCCAGAGCAAGTTGTAGAAAATGCTGGGCTTGTCTGAGTGTTGCTTTTTAATGGCTGATCTATATGAGGCTAGGGTATCTATTCTTAGAAGGCAGAGTAAAGCATTTTAAAGTCAGACAGGTGCTTGTATACTAAAAGTCTAAATATAGACTTGGGGAGGCCAATAACAATGGGAAATATTCACTGGGAACTTATTAAGCAATTTATGTTGCACTTACCAAGCATTCTGTGGTTCATCCTCATTTCATCCTGCAGTCCTATAAGTTGACATAAACCCTATTTGACAGTTCTAGAAACTGAGGTCAAGAATGATTGAGTAACTTGGCCAAGGTCACACAGCCAAGATATGCTACAGGCAGTGTTATCAGTATGCTTTCAAATAGTATAATGAAACACCTGAGGCAGCCTACTTTATAAAGAGGTTTGCTTTGGTTTTGGAGACACAAAGTCTAGGGGCTGCATCTGGTCACGGTCTTCTTGTTGGCAGAGTCCTGAGTTATAACAGAGCATCACGTAGTGAGACAGGGAATATGTGAGTGTGTATGTCTGGTCTCCCTTGTTATTACAAGGCTGCCAGACTCAGCCATGGCAGCTCTACTGTTATGATATTATCTAATCCTAATCACTTCCTGAAGGTTCCACCTCCACAAACCAGTAAGTTTCCATTTTCTTAACACCTTGCAGTGGGAATTAAACTGCCACATGACTGCAGGGGAACAAACCATATCTGAGCTACAGCAGGTAGTATTTGACCAGGTTGGTCTCATAGTCATATGTGGTGGCACTATAAAAAGCAGACTAATAGGAAAAGAACAGAAATGGAAAAAGTATTGTGAAATCAATAAGTAACTCTGACGCTCTGGATTAAAGAACTAAAATTCCATGTCTATTCTCCTCCCTTCCCCTCAGGTCCCACAGTTGCCACAGATAGGCCAGCTGGAGACCCCTGGTGATGGGTGGAAGGAACAGCTCCACCTTCTCAAAGCATTCACCTAAATTCTGGTATAGGGACAGCTAAAAATGTGTAGAAGGGACCTGGTATGCCTTCTCTGGTTCCTTCAGGGAGGCCTGTGCCTTACAACAGATGGTGGGAATTATTCCAGCTCCATTTCTGCAGAATCTCTGGCAATGACACAAGATGTGAGGAAAAGACAGGTGGAGCAGGAGGGTTGGGAGAGACTGAAGTTTCTGATACTGGCGCACTACATAGGAAGTGTTACTTCAATGAACAGACTGTAAACCTCAAACAAACCTCACAATTACTATATATGCAGCAGAACTGGCATCTAGAAGGTTGACGTCACTTCTGAGTTTACAAAGTACTGTGGTTTGAATATGTCCCCCAACGTTTGTGTGTTGGGAACTGAATCCTCAATGCAACAGTATGGAGAAGTGGGGCTTTGAGAGGTAATCAGGTCATGAGAACTCTGCCCTCAGAGTGCATTAATTCTGTTATCTCATGAGTAGGATAGTTATGAGAGATCTGGTTTCTGACAAGAGAAGAGTTAGCTCCTTTTTTCCTCTCTCTGATAAAAACATGAGTTCAGTCTCCTTCCCTCCCTCCCTTCCTCTTCCACATTTTACCATGGATGTCTCCAGAAAGCCCTAACCATAAGCAGGTTCCTCTGCTTTGGACTTCTGAGGCTCTAGAGCTGTAATAAACAAATCTCTTCCTTATAAATTACCCACTCTTGGGTGTTCTGTTCGAGTAGCACAAAACTGACCGAGACACATAATATATGAACAATTGGCTGTCAAGCCATCAGCTGGCTAATCCAGTATCCATCTTGCTTCACTTCTCCCTTAACTGGAATAAATATTGGTCTTTTCACTTTCCCAGCCTCCCTCGCAGCAAGATTGGGCATGACAAACTGCTGCCCAAAAAAGTCTGTTAAATCAGGACCACTGGTAGGACTGCTATCCTTCCAGCCACAGCTAGTGCTGCCCTATCTACATTCTTTCCTTTTTCGAAAGAGAACAAGATGACGGAAGGGTCAAACAAACTGCCAAGTCTCTACCTTACTGGGCCATGGAATCATCACCAGCTGCCTAGGCCAGACTTCTTACAATGTTTAGAAATAAGGCATTATTAAACAAGAAATACGCCTTTCATTTAAGCCAACATTGGTTTGCATTTCTATTAGTCATAGCCAAAAAACTTTTGATAGATCTTATTGCAAAGTTCACATGTGCCCCACTGTGCCATGTTACCAGAAAGACCAGTAAGAGCTAGGAAACTTTACTTCATCCCTTCTAAGAACATATTTTGTGCTACTTTATCATTTAAAAAATCAGGATGCAAATTAAAATGGCTGACAGCTTTTTTCCTTAGCATAATTAATGGTATTATGGATTTGAAGAAATTACACTAAAAGGATTCTGTGAAATGGACTGCCAGAAGTATCCGGGTTCTGGATTTTCCAAAGATCATGCTGTCCTCACACTGCTTATTTGCCTGTGTCAAGTGAAGGGGGGTGGTGGTGAGGAGAGATAATAAGATATGAGTCTTTATCTAGGGAGAAGAGTCCACAGATCTTTTTAAATAAACACAAGCCCTAGCAAACCTCCTGCTGCTGGAGAACAGGATTCCTTTGAAATGGAAACTAAGGTCATTTGTACCAAAATGAGCAAAAGTTTCTTTCAAATTATCTTTGGAGTTTATGATAAATCCTTTAGTTATATGTAGTAGTCTCTAACTTTTGAGAATGTATTTGATGTCTGAAAACAGCAAAAAGTCACCTACCTCTGTTCAAACCTTGTGAATAATGATCAAAACAAGGCATATGGTTTGCTTTAAAAGGAAGACTAAAACAAGGGCATTGCCTACCAAGACCACTTTGAAGAACATCTAGAACTCTAGCTTTTGTGTCTTTTTAAAGTCCTTCGCCTCCCAGCAGCTTTTTAATTTTTCAAAAAACCTCTTATTTGGCTGGGCATGGTGGTACACGTCTGTAATCCCAGAGGCTCAGGAGGCTGAGGCAGGAGAATTGTGAGTTCAAAGCTAGCTTCAGCAAAAGCAAGTCACTAAGCAACTGAGCAAGACCCTGTCTCTAGATAAAAATACTAAATAGGGTAGGGATGTGCCTTAGTGATCAAGTGCCCTTGAGTTCAATCCCTGGTATGCAAAAACAAACAAACAAACAAAACCCCCCAACTTTTATTTGGTACTGGGGATTGAAGTCAGGAGTGCTACATGCCCAGCCATTTTTATTAGCCTTGACAAGTTGCTAAGGCTTGCCTTAAACTTGTGATCTTACTGCCTCAGCCTCCTGAGTAGCTGGGATTACGGGGTGTGCCAGCATACTCAGTTCCTCATAAACTTTAGAAGACCTACAAATGGAGTGTTCCTAGCAGCAGCCAGAGGCCCCTTTGTCCCATGTCTTTTCCCTGACTCCTTCAGACAAAAATGGGGGAAGACTCTGCCTGTCTCAGTTCTGTCCATTTGATGAAAATGTAAAAAAAAGTCAAAAGTGGACTGGTATTTTTATGACTTTGCATAGATCTCATTCCTCAGCTTTTTATCAGGCCCAGAACAGACTCCAATTTTCTCTAATATGGGTCCATTCTCACCTAGAAGTGGCGGCAAACCACTTCATCTCATGGCAAACATTGGGACTCAGGTCACAGGAATTCAGTGTTGACAAAGATGGTTCTTATGTGTTGCTAAGGCTGCAGAAAAGACAGGATACACTTAGGAAACTTTCTGCTGGCTTCCTCCAACCCTTCTCAGACATTCCGGGTGGGGCTAGGGTATTATACCATCTGGCTTCAGGAATCTCAGACTCTCATACCCACTCCATTGGCCAACATCTATCAATACAAACTGATAAGAAATAAAGCATGTTTTTCAACCTTTACCCTTACTAGAGCAGAGATAAAGTCATGCATACATTATATAAGATTGCCTAGTTTTGCCAGGGATTTACTATGTCTGTCCCTCTGTCTCTGGGCAGGGCTATGTCTACCTGGAATGAAAGACTACCAGAGAAAGGAAAGAGAAAATACCTTTCCTGTTTTCAAAACCACCAGAGGTGATCCCTCAGTCGGCAAGAGTCTTAACACTACTACCAGACTAGGGGCTGGGATGTGAGGGTGGGATGGGGCAGTGCATTAATACTACGCACAGCAACGTTGAAATAAACAGCAAAGGTGATGTGGCCATGTGATATACATGCAGTCCTTAGATATTGTATTTCATCCTGCTCCAGTTTGAGTTCACTTAAATTCAAACTAAGAGCTTGGAATGCAAACTTAAAAGTTCTGAGCATAGACAAATGTCTCATATGCTACCTTTTGTGCTTTCCTGGATAAGTTGTTACCTGCAGTTACTTTCAAGAACGAAGTACATTTTTGTTCGTAATTATAAATAGGGAGTTACACAGATGTTCGATTTTGGCTGTAGGTGAAAGTACAGGGTTCTCTATTTCAACCTCTATGCAGGAGAGTACATAGCCATTTACATTTGTCTGATTTCAGGTTTAGAAGCAAGGCATGCACACAATTCAGAGATGAATGGACTCCCCCTGGGCAGTCTGTTTTTACCCTTAGTCTCCTTGAAACAAGTCACAGTCCACAGTACTGATATGCATCCCCTACAATAACCAACTCCAAACACACTAGTAAGAAATGGGTGTTACACTGAACATTTAGTGGGGAGATGGATATTCACTTTCACCGTACCCAGGACAAATGAAGAAAAGAATGCCCACGAACATCTGATCTTCCTTGTTCCCCAGTTACCATGCAGCTGTCCCATCACTCTTCTCTTCTCACCCACCTCCTTGTCTACAATCCTGCCCTCATTTATAATATAACCTTCATCAATACTCTGGTTGGAAACCAGCCAGAACAGCAGGGACACCACCTCCTCCTTCCAGCTCTGCAGGGTCCCATCTTCCTTCTACACTCCTTGTTGTGTATACCACCATTCCATCTTCCAAATACCAAGTGTTTACCCAACAAAAATGCACCAGTTCTTAAGGGGAGAATTCTATGCAATTCTATTTATTTCCCATTTATTTTCCATCCCTGTTAGCCAATAGACTATATGCTGTTAATCCTAACAATAACCTTGTGAGGGTGGTTACAATTCCCAGCCTGCTAAGAAGATAACAGGGAGAAACTTATAGAAATCTGGATACTCACACATGCCAATACCATAGTGTGTCTATCGGAGCCCTGTTAGTAGCCTCCTGCCCCACAATGCTGCAGTGCAAATGCAGGTAGGTCTGGGCTCTGAGCTGCAGCTGAGGCATATCTGGGTAGCTCCCTCTACATCCAGGCAGCAGCTGTTCTCATTATCCATGCACCTTCTGCAAAGTCATCTTCAAATCCCCTTTGAGAAGATACTGTCTTCCCTGAGTCCACCGTGTCCACAGATGAAATGCAAGAAATTTCATTATTTGTTGTTTACACAGGTTAAGGAACTTGCTGGGGCCATGCAGCTGTTAAGTGTTACTGACAACGAGAGTTAACAAACAAAGGAGTATCTAACATCCAGGTGACACTTTGAAGCACTCTGCTATTATGCCTCTCTAAACAGGTCTCTGGTCCTGGGTTACATTTAGATGGAGAAAAGAGGCATTTTTCCCCCCATTCCAAAATGATTTCAGGAAGCCAACAATAACAGGGGTTAGCAATTCTACTTCTGATAGGTGGATGGGCCTATGTAGAGGTGAGGTATGGGGTGGGGGTAGCCCCTTCTGCACACCCCCTGCTACTATTCCCCTGCCTGCTACAGAGAGGACTATACATATGAGTAGAGCCTGGGCCACATTAGGGTATACATGTGTCAAAGACCATACGTATTTCACTTTCTGCTCCATGCTGCCACCCAGGCAAGAAAGCCAGGCCTACTCCATCTGAGTAGGCCCAGTGAGAATCCTTTGCTCTGTTGGTAGCCAGTTGGTGGTAAGGTCTGGATGTATGAGGCAGACAACAAATCTACACCATTAGCTGCAACCTGGCTACTCCAAAGAACTTTAAGACAAGTGAATATGAAAGCAGTATGATAATTTCATTTTGTTGTTTGTTCCTTGAATATTTAGTTCAAGAGTTACCAGCAGAGGGGCAAGGCAATAAAGGCAAGCATTGAGCCATTCCTTGGGCTCTGTTGTGATATTTACAATATGATCAACACACAGGGTTTTATAGACCATACAATTTATAATCCACACCAGGACACTTTTGAAGAGTGAAAGAGAGCATATCAACCATGCCAGGACAATTTCCTGGTAAGCAGGAATGTATGGTCACCCTGTCAAAACCATCAGAACCTGCCCTGAATCCTAACCTAGTACCTCTGATCACACCGATAGGTTCTCTTTTATTTAATAAGTAGATAAGAAAACCTAAGTCCAATAGCAATAGGTAATAAGGGAAATTAGCATTGGAATACTCAAGGTATTAAAAAATTCCACATATCTTGCCCATGCCTTCCGTTTGGAGTATTCATAAAACCACCTAATTTGTGGAAAGCACCTTAGAGTTTATAGAGCACTTTCATAGGCCTGCTTCAGCTTAATAATCCTCTGAGGCAGGAGACAGGTCCACCATCTTTTTCTTTTTTTTTAGTTGTTGACAGAACTTTGTTTTTATTTATTTGTACATGGTGCTAAGAATGGAATCCAGTGCCTCTCACATGCTAGGCAAGTGCTCTCCGCTGAGCCACAACCCCAGCCCCTCGGTCCAGCATCTTAACACAGGCCATGCAGCAAGCAAAAGAGGCATGATTCAAGCCTGAAATCTGGGCTAGCCTCATATTCTCTCCTCTAACCACATTATGTTCCCTAATGCCATCTACTCTGATAGGCCAGTAGCTTGTGTTCTGAACCTAGACTACCTGTTAGAGAACAATGTGAAATGAGGCCCAAGGGAGATAGTGGGCCAGACACAATCACAATTGCCTGAATCACAATTGCTGCAAAGGCAGTCATTAGCACACATTCAAGACAGAAGCACAGCTCTATGTCCATTTATTTTTTAAAATATCCTAGATCTGGTAAAGAAAACGGCCAAACCCCAACATGTTTTTCTGAAGAATTTTCTAAGATCTAAATTTTAACTTTAATTAGCAAAAGATTAAAATCCAGCATTTAAATAGTAGCTCTTTTTTTCATTTTTCTCTTTTTTAAATAGAGATGGGGTCTCACAGTGTTGTCTAGATCTTGAACTCATAGGCTCAAGTGATTCTTTAGCCTCAGTCTTCTGAGTGGCTGGAACTATAGGTATGTGCCATGGAGCACAGCAAAACAGTGGTTCTTAATAGGAGGCAGCTCATATCCATAGGGGCATTAGGAAATGCAGGGGGGAGGGGCATTTTTGCATTAAGATTGGGAGGTGAGTTGCCTTTTTTATCTGTGCCTCCTAAATCAATAAATTTCAATGACATTTCTATGTGACAGACTAGAATCAGTGGATTCCAATTCACATACAAGCCTAGCATTTGCCAGACTATTGGGCTTCTGAGGACTAGCCTGTGGCTGATGGATGAGGATACAGTGCTTGCTGCTCTCCAAGGCTCTTAAGATGTCAGCAGAACATAGAAGTTCTGTAGGTCTGCAAGCTCATGTCAGGGAAAAGGGACCTTGATGTGTTCATCTAAAACACAAGGTTCCTACTCCTATCGGTGTACTATGATGAAGTCTGCACAGCACATATATTGTAACTGTAGGAAAAGGATTTGAAAATTACATGGCTAATTTAGTCCTGTCTCTCCCTAGCTATTAAAACTCCTTTCTTCCTATTGCATACAATCTCAACCAAAAAACATTAGAAGATCTAAAGGACTAACTTGATTCACACTTTTCCTGGTTTGACAGAAGAACTGATGTTTCCAAGAGGTAATTCCCCACACTGCCAAAGACAGAAGGTACTTAGGGGCCATACTTACTGAGCAGATTTATACTGCCAGGAGAATCTGATGAGAATGTAAATTTAGAGATTAAGTTTTCACTCTCTGTGATTCAAGAATGCTTCAGTTTTGTCCAAATCACAAACATCCTTTAGGTTTTAACTATCCATATGTCATCATGCCTCACTGGGGTAGCTTCAGATGGACATTTATACATCAAGTTTGACTCAAGTGTGCAGAGTATCACAAGGGGATGGTCCTAGAGATACTCCTTCTCCTCAGTAGAATGAATGACGTTCCATCTTGGAGATCCATTTTCAATCAGTGAACAAAGGGGCTTTAATTCTCAGCACAGCACTGAAGATGTTATGTATGTATGCATGTATGTATGTGTGTGTGTATTTATGGACAATTAGTTAATTAGTAGTGATCCACAGAGGAATGAGTCATTTATGCCTTTAACAATGCATTTTCAAAATGAAGTCTATCCATGACTATTTAATTGAGGTACTTAAGACACTGGTGATTGGGCTTCAAGAAGTTCATGATATGAGATGGGAGGGAAAAGGAGAGAAAAGGGAAATTGCATGGAAATGGAAGGAGAAGACCCTCATTGTTACACAAAATTACATATAAGAGGTTGTGAGGGGAATGGGGAAAAAAACAAGGAGAGAAATGAATTGTAGTAGATGGGGTAGAGAGAGAAGATGGGAGGGGAGGGGAGGGGAGGGGGGATAGTAAAGGTAGCAGAATACAGCAGTCACTAATATGGCATCATGTAAAAATGTGGATGTGTA